ACGAAAAAAATCACAATGTTCAAAAAAAATAAAAAAATAAGGCAATTATATATAAAAATCCCAAAAAGGAACAGACTCACAGTTGCAATTAAGTGTACCAGATCACGTCGGTTTCACCAATGATGATGTCACAGGTATTCAGTGTTTGACAACGCTTCTACCAGTAACACCTTCTAATGTATTTCGTTCCCACCCAGAGAAATCAAAAGACAGAGTCGAGGAGATCGGAAGAGTATATTTGGCGATGACCAATATATCGGAATTCTCTGATCTAATCTGGCTAGCGATTGCGGTTGATGTTGAGCACGGCGTTACCACACGTGATCTGGTGCGGATGCCTGACCGAGCGCCTTCAGCTAGATGAGTCCACTAAAACATATGGTCAGCATCCAATGTCGAAAACTTAGTGCTATTTATTTTGGGGATTTATTTACCGCTACACCGCTATAAAATACCTAAAAATGCTGGACGGCCGTTTCATCATTATATGAGACTCTTTAGCAGGACAGATTCATGGCTTTGCATACAGGACTGGAAGTCAGGCTCTTTGCGTACAAACAATGTAGATTACTACGAGCTATCCCATACCAAGACGAACGGTCGTTTAGTCTCCGGGTTGTCAATGTTGGTCTAGCTTATGTCGGCTCATGATGTCAACAATCTGCACGGCCTTTTACTGGTAATTATAATCTGCTCATTAGTGACTAACTTCGAGAGGCAATTCCAGTGTAAAACCGTGATCGGTGGAAGCAGTTATAAATTGAAGGCAATAGATGATAGTCGCGACGTACATTGGATTGTTTGATGTCTGACATTAACATTATTGGATCACGGCTCTTTGACCTGAAGGTTAAGCGTTCACTCACGAGGCCGTAGGTCATGGATTGGAGCCCTGTTTACGGGATCGTGGATGCGCACTGCTAATGAGTTCTACGCCAGAACGAAGCTGCCATTCAGTGCCTCCAGGTTTTTGATGATTGGTTAACTCAGATCGGTTCATGGTCTCAATGCGATTCAATAATTTGTGCAACTTCACACCAGAAAAAAATTGTCGTCCCACCTTTTATTTCGCACTAACTCCTGCTTAATTGTTGGCGTGTACTTGTAAACACATAAATTTTCATGAATGTGTATATGTTTACCTGAATATTTGCGTCATATCATAGTACTGTCGTCTTTGTCCAAGAGATTTATCACAAGTATGTGTAATATCTGTAGCCTAAGCTTGATATTTGTTGATGCCAGTCTTCTACCTTTTGTCTACTTGATAGCCTTGCTTGAGGAAGGGCCGGTCTTAATGTACAACCAATTGAGCACAAGTTTGAATGATGACGTATTTACTACTGATCTGGCGAAATATTTTTAAAGGGATTGTCCTTGGTCGCATTGATAATAACTGACAGCACAGGTTTTGTTAGTAATTCAGATAGTTGTGGTGGGTAAACCTTGAATTGGCCATCATTAAATAAACTGTTTTTAATCTGTGCTGAGAATTCGTTCGTAACAGTCTGCTATCTCTCCGCTTAAATATACTGAGTATCCGTAATTTATGATACAGTCGAACTGTCATCGTTTTACGCGTCGTGATTCGTTAAGCGCGTTCTGAAAATGATCCAAAAGAGAAAAGTCTGTTGAACATCAGCCTTTAAAACTACTCATTTATATCAGCCGAACCATTTCGGCAACTGGAGGCTTGGTTAGTAACGCTAGGCATTTTCCTGTCGATGTAAATAAACAGTCCTTATATTTGCATGTTGTTGTGTTTACAGATATTACGTCATATTTAGAGTCTAATATGATCTTTAAAGAAGCGGATATAACGACAGCTATCCAATGGAATATTACTTAAGAACAAATGCAGTGTTTGCATTAAAAAAGTACAATACCACTCAATGTCATGTAGCAGATTCAACCTGGACCTGATATTTCATCCATGCACACCAAAAAGATCTGTGCCATAATACTGTCTTTTGAAAAAACAATCTTTTACAACATGCTGACATACAAAAAAACCATTTTGAGAGTAACCGGATTTCGTATTTACAATAACGCGCTTACTTTTGGTGACGTTGCAGTTCATAGTATAGAAGCCGGTGACGGTTATATTTCTGTGATTTGTGTCCATCACATTCAACCACGTTGTTCAACACAGATGTTTGTTGAAGTGTTTGAGCTAAATTCCTCCTCTCTGCGAAAGACAATCTTTTACTTCGCCGATTGCAAACTATAAGGCTAGCAAAACACCTTGGCTGTGAACCATCTCAGAAGACACTGTCGTATGCAAAATGTCACATAAAGCCACTCATATCATTTGCTGAAAACCAAAGTACATGATCATAATTAGTTACATGTAAGTTAACATTCTAACACTTTAATGCCGGGGTCGAAAACTTGGGGCTTTTTATAAGCGACAAATACCCATTTAAAAAGGATGAACATATATTCCCAACGCTCACTATGGTTTGCTTTACTCCATAGATGAATACAAGGAGTACTCGTTATCTGCACTTTTGACGTTTATGCTTTTCGAACTCTTCTCAACTGTATAGTAAATTGTCAGAGAAATTTCCGTAGATAAAAAACTCTGAGTTTGACGTGAACCGTATTCAAACTACAAGATGCACTTTTACTGGTGGTCGTAAGAACAAAACATCAAAACACCACGGAAAAATTCTATCCGACCACAAAATATAGAACCATAAAGTCATTGGAGATGATGCATCAACAAATTTTTCTCACAATATCCAGAACTTTCAAAACGCCATATAACAGAAAGGGAAGAGGGCCTAAAACAAGCGAACTTTGTTGTATTATTCAAACACAAACTGCCGGTCACTAAATCAACCAATCGAGGTCGTATCAACAAAGAAGAGGTAACGTTAGCAAGAGGTTGAGTTATTTTATGCCCTACCTCTCATTTCAATCTCAATAAATAAACGGATTTCTGTGCGTCGGAAGGTCAACAATAAAACGTCTGCTTTTAGTCTGTCGGGGTAGGAGTTCAGAATGAGAGGTTAAAGTATTAAAAACTAATTGTTTTTTCAGTGACCCTACAGTATCATGTACTGCAAATTGCCAAGTCGGACAGTTTTTAGGATTATGAAGATAAATTTTCAGTCGCCGTAATTTTTTGTGATGGATACGTCCTTGTGATTTGACATTACTTGTTTTTCAACCTCAATAAACATCTATACGATTTGCCGTTTGTGAAGAACGCACTTCGGTCTTCACAGATCATAATAAAGTTGAACATGGCGATCCTTTTCTCCAACTAGTTTTTAATTCTGTCTACATTAGTATATCTATATATATGGCATGTTCTAACTTTGTTTCCATATTATAAAATATCCATGCACGTCACAATACAACAACTCAGTTGCATATCTCCCTATAGTAATCCCTGTAAAGTAATTTTAAGTTTGATATTGTCCGTATAATCGCATGCTTAACGTAACTTGGAGCTACCTTAAAAATGAATTACTATTCTCGTTTGTTCGATCTCTATTGGTTACCTTAAGGAACAAATCGAACCCGAGAGGATTAACCACCCTGAAATTGCATGGAATCATACCATCTCGTCGAGCCAATTGAGATCAAGGCATAACATACTCGAAACCCATCTCTGATGTTCACATATTGAGTGAATTAGGTGGCTCCAAAAATACCCTGATATGGCTGTGTGTGGGAGAGCTCTCTTTATCGCTCGAAATGCACTCACATGGCCACGCGTATACGGACACCGCTCTTTCGTGGAGGGGCTGTAGTGGCATTGGACCATAACCAGATAATCTTCAAAGCTGAACACAAAACTACTCGGAAAATAGATATTCAATATTTAACGCGGAGAAATACCTAACGATGGGTAAGGCGGAAACAACGACTTGAATGAATAGAGGTTGATCAAAGGCATGGCGCGGCCACGCAGGCGTGGCCCCTGCTATCTTATATCTTTTACTCGTACTAAATATATTGTCCTATCTCTAGCCTTAGCTTGTTCTACATCATGTATTGGTAATTGTTATGATGCAATGAGTTTGTGTAGACGATGATGTAACTTCCACGTAAGATCTTATAGATTAGGCAGTTATATCATGACAATTGTATTCGGCGGCCTGCTTGAGCATCTGGGCTACCTGTTCCTGTCATCTAGATATTTCAACAAGTTATCTATTTTTGTTTGTTTTAATATATCATTATGTTTATTAATCGCACAACCTATTCTGCTGCGTTTCTGAAAAGTGTACAACCTTTCGTTGTCAAAGTTACAAACAACCCAATAAGAGACAATGTGGTTGCTGGCAATATACAACCAAAAGAATGCATATTATTCAGATGTTCATTTAGTGAACTGCTAACATCTAACTGGCGATCACTCAATATTTATCGCCAGGACCGACGAAGAAGAAAGAAACGGAAACTTGTTGAAATACTTTACGCTGAGAATTCTATATTGTACCAAAAATATAATATTGAATAAAGCTGATAATAATAATAATAATAAATAATAATAGGCAGTTATATCATGACAAATCTACAATTCTAGGATTAGGCCTATTATTCGAGCAGTACTAGTATCATAGTAGATCATAGTTCTACAGGGTTACTGGTGGATACGGAGGATTAATCTCGGAGAGTTTGAAAACCTCGATTCCAAACCAATGGTGCACATGATCTACATGATCCTGAGGGAAGAAATGGCGTATACATTTATTTTTGGTCACCGGCTACCATGTGACTGCATTTTCTGACGTTGCTCCACTACCTTGTAGATCAGACGACTAGGGGAGTGACCTCCTAAGGAAAACATCTGCTTCGGTTTGAGCGTCCGGGCAGTATACCAGACCTCACATAAACCGAATGACGAAGTGCTAAGTAACAGCAGGTCAAATATATATCTTGCATTAAAATAATAGTTACTAAAAGGGAGAAATCTAAACAACCAACTACCTTACTGTCAGAATTTCCACCTGAACGCCAATGAAGTTAAAATGTTCAATCGGTCAAGTATTATGACTTATATTCAGTACAGTGACAAAGTAAATACAGAAAAATCAGTGAACAGTACGGGAAGAAAAATGGAAATGTTTTATTATTGGAAATGGAAATCACACTACAAAATTGACTAATCCGATGTTGGGGGTAGTATGGGCGGGGAGGAAGAAGATGCAATCGGTGCAGAACTGTACAAGTCACCCTCAGAGTCGGGATGGAAAGCGACCACAGGAAGGTTGTAGGGTGAAACAAAAAACTTCCCTTTCGGATTCGAATTTCCGCCAGACTTTTCCTAAATCCAAAACAAAGTGTCAAGGAATTTAAGGAGATCCGAATAATTAAATTGGACTGGTCACAAAATTGACATTAAAAAACGCTAGATTAAATATTACTAGGGAAACAAACAACGATGCTACGCTAACAGGAAGTATTCATGGAAAGACACAAAACTAATTATTTATTCATAAGACATACGTAATATGTGTTCACATGTTCAGATGTGATAGAACTATAATAAAAAATCCTAGGGAATATCGTCAACTTTGGAATTGATCATGGAAACGAAAGTTAATGTGGAAGCGCAGAACCACTGCTATAAATAACAGTTATATAAGTTAGTTAGCTATAAATAACAGTTTAGATAATTTATCGAATTCGCCAAGGACATGGAGCATGACTGGTTGCTTGGTAGCATACATCAGTAAGGATACTTGTAAACACATCGTAATGTCATCATCAAAATACTCAAATTGTGATTAAATAGTCTGTGATTTTCTACTGGTTGCTTTATAAATAAAAAATCATACCAGAAGTACATGAAATCTAATGTTGCGATCACATGAAAAATATTTATAATGAAGCAATAACTCAATGGTTAAAGCGCTCAGATTCGAACAGTTGAGCCTCGCTGTCTGTTGAAGCATGGGGTTAAAAGCCTCATTCATATATTTCAAACAGTAGACGTTTTTTATACATCTGATACATTTTGGTAGTTATCACAGAATGTTATATGTGGAGTTCTTTGTTAAAAATAAACATGCATCAATAAAGTAATATTTGATTACGAAACTTTATCAAACTATTTTAGGGAGAGGGGTCATATGTAAGATGTAGGCATATAAAAGGAAGTACATTTACATGAAATAAATAACTGATTTTCCTTAAATAAATCCATTCAATCGGGATTGGTTATGGCTGAAAAATTCTATATAACGAAATAAACAATAGTAATCTAGATCTTAAGCAGCACATATAGACTATTATTCCATATTTTCCAGATAATTAACACTGTAAGTTAGATAAGAATGTGATATTAAAATAGAGATTAGGGTGTTCTATCAAAAAAGATCTCAACAGATAAACGGATAGACATAAAGTCATAAAAATGATCGTATTATGCAAGCTGGAAAACTCCAGGTGAAAACCACTTCAACAACTTAACAGTTTAAATAGTAAGGTTTGGAGTTCAAGATAAATGAAATGAAATTATTTTAACTCCACATATTACAGCAAAATCTTTTATTGAAAACAGTTATTTACCCACTGATCAGCTAATTCACTCATTTTCGCTTTTAATAAACGAATTAAACTAGCTTTTACAGCAGACTTCTGTTGAATTTGTGCATCTTGGATTGTTTCCAACTCATTTCGCTTGTCTGGTTTACTACCCGGACCATAAATACGTAAAAGACCACTCCAGGTACTAACTTCAGGATGTAGACGGGCTAAAAGATGTTGAGCAGATAAATGACGACCTTCTCTTTTGTTTTTACATCTAACCTATGAACATTGAAATGGTTAGTTTCAATCATAATTATTCAGTGACTAATAATAGTGAATTTACTAAGGAGGTTTCAAAATAATGAAAGAAATAATTATAAAAAGTCGTTACATTAATAAGAGTAAGGTATTTCTCTACTTTTGTAAACCAAGAGTAACGAACACTGTAGAACGAAGTGAATTCATTTTATTCCGTATGCTCTATTTCTTTCACATACGCGCTAATTTAATTCAATGAAAATAATTTTTACAAATGTAATGTAACAGGCATGTATAATCAATTGTATGATAGAAAGCCTATATGAAAGACAGAAAAGGTTGATCCAGTGTCAAGTTTATGAGTTTAGTAAACCAATATGTTATCACACAATCAACCTCTTTATATTTATTACAGACCACATGAGGGTTCCAGGATGCCCCCCAAACGCCCTGTTACGGCCGAGAGTGTGAAGAGTCCACTATCCCTCTCGAAATGCTCTCACATGGCCACGCGTACATAGCCTCTGCCAGGGAAGTCCTACTCACTGCCTTCTCGCACCACGGGTGTTGTTTATGAAATTGAGAGGACGAAAAACGAATGTCCGGCGCTTTAACTGGATTGGTGGACACAAAGGGTCCACTTGGGGGACAAGGAAATATCCTGATTCCAAACCAATGGTGTACATGGGCTCCAGTACCCTATGAGAACAAATGGTGTATGAACCAATCGTTGGTCACCGACTACCATGGGACTGCATTTCCTGCTCCACTGCTTCGTGGATCAGACCTTCAGGTCGAAGGCTTCGAGTGTGGCCCCCTAAAAAAACTACCTGCTTCGGTCTAGACACCCGGGTAGTATCACAGCCCTCACACAAATTAAATGGGATTTGTGTGGCGCATATGTATTTGGTGCTTCCTTGTACCAATATCTTTGTGTTAAAATAAATAAATAATCCAATACAGGTGTTTTAACTAAGGAAGAATACCATTTAGAAATAATTAAATGACTAAATCATACCAAACGCTTTCTTATACACAAACAGAACAAGGATAAAACTCTAAGAACCAATAAGAATTGTAGTCAGGCTATAAACGAGAAAAATATAAACGAATCAACTTGTGAATGTTTAAAGTCAAAAATGTCCTACTTGTTGACATTGTATGGTTTACATAGGACTCATAAAACTGGACAACAGATTGTTATACCAAACGTTTCCAAATAGTGTAGTGTACAACATTCGAAGAGTTTAACAAGTGTGATACATTGATAAACATTGTTATCTTATTATAAACACTCTAAATTTTTTCCTAATAATGGCTTTCACATTCAGAGAGTAGATGTAATCCCATTTCATTTGTATTGGTCTTTTCAAAGTTATAAGTAAATTACATATCGTGCTATCATTATAATTATAGGAATAGTTAAGCCTACCTTAACAGTATGTTCTCTCAGCTGTAAAGTGAAAAAGTGTTTACTGCGTCCTTGAGATATCATATTTGACTTCAAATCAGACTCAGGAACACAACTTCGACTTAAACATTCAACAAGTAGATTATATGGAGTAGGTAATGCCATACGCACAGATAATTCATATAAACGTGGATCAGTCACCGAAATGGAATCGAACAACTGCATATCACGATCAGAGGCTACCACTGGACCTGTTTGATGTGAATTGTTACATGCAATCTTTTGAAAATCCGGAATTAAAACTTCAAGCGCCTTACGAGCTTCATAAAATAAAATAAAGCAAACATCAGATATTATTTTAAGTGAATGTATAATTGTGAAGAGTGAGAACATAAAAAGTTATCAAATAAGACATTAATATTCTGATTATAATTGATAATTACAAACTATATTTTAACGAGCCAGACGAAAAGTTTTGGGATAATTATTAAGTCTATATATATAAAATCACTATTGAACTTATTCATAACTCTGATTATCCTTTATCCTCTACTGAATTCAATTTATTCTACCAAGAATGTTTGAGAAATGTAACATTTTCAACGTATAAAGTAACAGGGTTACATAATTCGACTAGCTTTAATACAAGAATAAATAAATAACCATTTTCAACAGTCAAGAAAAGACATACCCGCTTCTAATCTTGCACACTTTTTACTTTGCCCTGTACCGGTTCCATATGGATTACCATTAATAAATACTGTCATTTGATAGGGATTTTTATCATTTTCAAGAACTGTTGTCTGATATGTCGGCGGACGACGTATAACATTTTGGCAATACTCATGAAGAATGCAAACATATGATTTACCAGTCATATTGATCATACCCTCTAAAAAATATACCAAGTGGTAAATGTACAAAAAAATAAGTTAGATGAATCAGGGATCTGATCAAATACACAGTTTGATTCTTCTCCTTATCACATAATATGCACATGATACAGATTTATGTACGTTAGAGAATTATTGAAAATCATACAACATAACAGAGCAATCTTGTCTAAGTTTAGGGCTTCTCAGCAACATGTACTCAATACGCCACACAGGAGCGGACATAAAAACACACGAATAGAATACAGCACGTTATAAATAGGCCACCCTAGTTAAAATCCAATATTCCCTAGTTTTTAGCATCAATCGACATTCAGTGTTGTTGATGTAAATCTGTCTTATTGCAGACAGCGTTTGACTTCAAAGTGACAACTTCAAATTATCGAGCTTTGCAAATCCCTCTTGAAGCAAGTCAATGATGAATACCTGATAGTTATTCGAATTGGGTTTCGGTGGAAAGTCATCGAAAATGAGAATATGGCGAAGACTGACGAAGAGTCCATAACTTGTAAGACATAACTGTCTAGATTTCTTTAGTATTTAGTGGTTATAGAGATGATCTCAATCTGCAGTGTAGAGTCAAACCAAAAAGACCTTCATAAACAACGAAGTGAATATTATACGTTTGATACATTAAAAAAAATGTTTCAAAAGCATTTCAAAATTGTCGTAAAAACAAGAGAACAGTACGAAGATACGGTCAAATAAACTTTCTCAGCTTTTGACGTTATTACGATAATGACTTAAACAACAAACACTTTATTGTTTACATCATCAGCTTGAAAATATGTGCCAAATCTATAAAACTATGATAGTTAAGGATCTACAAAAATGTCGATGTTAACTCCGGGAATCGAGCACAATACCGTCCACTTCAAACCATTACAAATTAAAATTCGTGTCTGTTGAACAATTGACTACTTGGACTCAGTAGCTAAGTGGACAGTATGTTGGCGCTTGAAGCAAAAGGTGGTAGGTTCGAGTCCCGCAGTGAACATCAACTCTGAAGTTTAGATGCACCCAGCTGGCGAGTCCAAAATAGGATAAAACGCGCATCATGGATTCTACTACTAGATACATTTCATCTGCCTCATAAAAAATAGAGCACAAAGGATACAATGTATTGTAGATCACTAACGCAGATTATCCATGTTGAATGATTGGAGGTCTAGTCGAGTTAGACGGGAACGGTATGACGAACCAGCTAACTTCGAAGTCACATCTCGCGGTCAGCATCTAACGTGGATTAACCCTTCGATGTATGAAAGTACCATGGTTGCTTTGAAGATCAAATAACACAAAAGACCTTATTATGAAAATGTATTAGTAAGAATGAGTGCAGAGAAGATAGCGAGACCACCACCGCATGCATCACTCCACGGCATACGATTAACTTATGCATGTTGGTTGTCCTCGACCTTGACGAGGATCGATGATTTGTTCGATATTCAGTGATGATTTGGCTAGGGTTCAGTGACATTTTACTGGCCCTACAGTATGAATAAAATAAGTCAGATCATAATTGGGCAGAACATCAACAACAGCCGTCGTCTGAGTCTTCAAGGATTTATAAATATTCATCAGACAATAACCATAGCAACGAAGCGAAATAATGATATGAATGCTTTTTCTGAACTAGACTTCTTATATTTGAGAGGGGATTTCCCGTAAATCCCCATGTTAATTGACCAGTTCTTTAAGTTAGTATCATTTTATAGTGTTATTCAATAGTATGGTTTGTTATAGGTGCTAATCGGTCTTTATTGGTGCACTTGAGTAGCTTTGGATTCATTGTATTCAGAAAACTACAAACCGGAGGTTGATATTCATCATTTTATTTGTACCTCTATCATAGTACGGTATTTTGCATCGCTTAGAGTGCTGGTTTCAGTACTTTGCATTTAGCTTTAATTAAATATCAACTGGATTTGCTCACGTTTGAAATCCTTCGAGTGTGATTACTTGACCTACATAAAGACAGACATATTTAACATGAACAATGAATCCTATGACAATTCTAATATAAAATAAAACCTACCTTTAGGCTGCTTTCGCGAAACGTTTCCATCAGTCGATGGTATTTGATATCGAATAACTTTTGCCTGTTCTGACTTAAATTACAGACACAAAAATAAAGAGATATTAATCTGGGATTTTTAGACACAAAAATAAGAAAACTGTAAGAGAAAATACTTTCAAAAAAACAGATTAGTTGATTTGATTCACTAAAACATGTATAATCAGCTAATGTATATGTAACATGAAGAAGGTGAAAAACATAAGCTAGGAAGAATGATTTATGAATAAAAAACTAGACACTTTTGACTGTATCTTACGTACTACATATCAATACAAACCACTCAGGCTTGAGGTATAGTACACTACACATCACAATTCTTGACTAACGATGGACATACAACAGATTTTACGGAGTATATATGGTATAAAAACGTACAAAATATCCTTTTCTGTTTACATATATACATATGATGTGATTATGCGTGTACTTCAGAAAACATACATGAAATAGTCAGTCTGCTAAACTGATGTCAAGTTTCCTTTCGTAAGTAATAAGACTGTCTTTATCAACATCATTAAACATGGGACGTATTTACAATAATTAAGACGTGGAGTAACACTACCAAGTGAATGATCATGATTGTGTCTATGAAACTTCAAATTCAACAATTGTGCAGCACAACCAACATTAACGGACATCAAAGTAATCTTTCCTATGTTGAAACTTGAATTATTAAGTTTTAGGATTCTTGACTAATTTGCGAGAGTCAAGCAAACCACATTGTCTAACAAAACTTACTTATTGCGGATTTCCATCCTTTGCAATATTAGCTAATCATTGTAAATTAATTCCTTAGTCAGATAACAAATGCTTTAATGATCGTCAGTAAAATTATTAGCGTTATCTGTACATTAGAAAATCGAAGAAGTTATCGTTATAAGGTGATTTAATGTTCAGGGTTCGAACTCTGCCCTACTATATTTGGTATGGGCAGCTGCGTATTATCACTAACCGTCACATTTTTAGTGTCGCTCAAAACCAACGACATGAACACGAAGAAGTGACTTACACTAAGTCACGAAACGTTAGAAAATCTAATTTTCTACTTATTGGGATATTACAAATATATTATTTATGCACCTAGTAAGTTACATAATACAATTTATTCAACCCAAACTGTTGTTGTTTACGTATAGCGATTCTATGAAATCAGCCGTGTTCAAAGACAGTGTAAAACATCATCACCACAGTTGTAATGTAAAACTTTCTGAATTGACGTGCTGTGCATTCGACCATTTAAATAATGGACACTGTGAGTTTACAAATAACAGTTTTGACAAAATGGAAGAATAAAAATACTTTCTATTTCTGCGGTATACTACTGTAATGCGATAAATGGACTGGGAACCGAGATTTTGTTATCACTAGATCGAATACTAAAACGATATGCTATACACACATTGGATCCAGTTATACTAAATACACGAGTCACGATCAGTAAGAGGGAGACACAATATACCCTAGATAATACTTAATTTAACGCAGTTACAAGCAGTCGACCTTAATGAGATCAGAGTGGAAATCAATAACAGGAAAAGAATTCATATATTTAATAGTCGGTAAGTTGAATGTCTGGTTTTTCACACTAAGTGGACAGTCATGTTTACTTTCACTACCACACATCAAGTTTATCCTGATATGTATTCAGAAATGTGATGGTACAGATATTTTTTTGCTACATCACTTTCAACAGCTTAGATACACAGTGTTTTCAATTATGTAAAAAAAACTTATTACCGAGACTGTATGCACACTTGATTTTCACATTTGAACGATGGTTACCAAATGATTTCAGGTCATCATATTATCATAGGGCAAAGCTACATCATCCACGATGGAATCTCTAGCTTCAGCTAACCGATTCACGTCTTAGTCATAAACTTTGTTTAAAATTGCCTTAAGAACACTACAAATTGCATACAAAATTAAGAAATAATGTTTAACTCATAAGATCTTGCCAAGTTTCTGTAGATGATATATATAGGGACAAAGATTTCGACAAAAATAATTCTACCTAAAACAAACACTTAAGGGCGGTTACTTTTATTCAACACAAAACTGGACAGCATATTCTTGTTTGACAAATCTATGGTAGATTCATATCTCACTAACAAAAATAAGTAGAACTTATTATAAGTGCTTATCAAATTAGGTTACAACAGTGTAAATTTTAACATAATAAGAGCATTAAGTAACTATATTAATTGTTTGCAGAATAGAGTCCTGGCTATTACATTATCTGATCGGGCTCAAATCGGAATACACTAAATGGTCCTTTTTCAATCAATTAATCAGCGAACTGAAATGTTAGACATTGCTGTTAAAGTTTACTGGAATATACAGTACTAATTTTCAGTTCTTGTTTTGATTTCGGAAGAGTCGAGTGAAGTAAAAGTATCCAACGAATGTTAGACAGTAAAACATAACAATAAATGAAAGTGAGAATACTATTCGTTATCACATTTATTCACATACAGCTCAGAAATGAAAACAAAAAAAGTTAATGCTATGGAGGAACAGGATTAGTTTTTCGTACTTACCATCATCAGTAATGGTTTCTGCATGTCCTCTGATTCTTTAGTAGTAAGATCTGTTGTACAATGATATTCACGATTTCTTTGTTGTTTTTTTAAATAGAAAAAAAAATTTCGTATTGGCATGAAATAAATATTGATTTAAAGAAGATATGTGTAAAAACTAGCTAACTAACTACTACTATTACGATAAATAGGAAATTCGATTCCAACCACGAAATAAAAGAGTATTGTTTGTGCGACACAACCTTACAATTATATATAATATAACACAGTGACAGGATATACAAGTTAGTATGCTAAATTATGAGTAAAATATACTACAGAAGAGTTGGGAACCATCTAAAAGTGGTATGAGATGAAGTGTAGAGAACAATCTTAATCACAGCTCTACAGAGACTAAGTTAGAAAATTTAGCGCATACTTTAAATACTAGATTTTAGTTAAAAATTATTCTGATAAATATAATGCAGAGGAATTTGGAAATAAAAAACAGTAAAATTGTTTAACTTGTATGGAAAATCAAATTTCTACAGTAAATCACTTCAAATTCGAATAAGGTTAAACTACTTTCAAACAGTAGAAAGATGAAGAAATTTGATATAGTAATAATTGAGTATAACTCGAAGTAATAACCGATTGTCTACCTTTAAACATGGGACATATTCTCTGAAGGTGAACGTTTAAATATTTAAGCATGTGCCCCAATAAACTTGAGTTTCAAGATATATATGTTTGAAAGACCTGTAAACAAAATTAGACTAGTATAAATGGCCTTGACGATGTGAGAGGGTTGTCGTAAAGTTCAGGGGTAAAACACTTGAGGCCAGTTGCGAAGCAACTTCATTGTGAATAAGTTTTATTGCTTTGACCGTATATTTATCAAATCTTATTGAACACACTATAAATCTGTGAAATAATATGAAGTAAACTATCTTAAGTGTCAAACTTTTATGACCTTTTCCTTCATCGTAGAAAGCTAATATCATAGAAAATAGTGATGATTTACTGGAAACACCTTAATGCAGCCAAATAGTTATTTAACTTCTTATTTGAACCTTGATTTTGACAATTTTGCTTTTCCCGATCTCCAACAAGCCTGTTTAGGATAGTGAAACATGAAGGAATAAGTGTGCTAATCAATATAGATCACTGCATCGTTATGGTAAGCAAGCTCAAACACTGGGAAGAAGTAGCAAATATGATTGAAACTGGTGAGGAACATCAATATCGACAGTCAAATAGGTACAAACGGTAAAACCTGGATAATCGCAATGCTACATCACGAATTGATTGAGCTTATAAATATGAATGATTGGGTTCAAATTTATCTGCATAATCTGAAGGTAATGTTTTAGAACTCTAGTGGGATCGTGGTTGCAAAAGTGGAGAGCTTTAGACTAGTCTAAAATATCTGTATAGTACTCCCTGATTTCCAATATGTTTTCAGATAAAGTTCGTGATTTAAACTATCTCATGATTCAGGGAAACTTTGAGTAAAAAAAATTGAAGCTTAACGAAAAAATAAAAGTTTTGTTTGAAAACTTGAAGTTCTGAAGAAGTATTTTATCATTTACTTTATTAACAGTTCCTAAGTTATTCATAGAAAGTTGTTCCTTATTTTAATCAAAGCTTGTATCAACACTTATCCCTCATTAATACTATCAATAACCTTGACTGTTTGGTTACATTTTATTCCATTCACGCAGCAGCTATTGCTTGTCCTCGAAGAAGATATTATTTTTGCAACGGTTAGTGTGGATTCGCGTGCACGATATAAAAAAATTTAGGAGTATTGTCGATATAAGGTTGTTTATGGATAATTTATGAAGTTTGTTATTGTTGTTGGAAAAGTACATTCGGTTCGCATTAGAATTCATTTTGTTATAAAGTATTTGTGTCGATGTTAGGGGAATTATAGTGTTCTAATTCTATTACAAATTATCATCCACATCAATTGTTTCAAGTGCACATATAACGACTTTTTTTGTACAGATTAAAACAATGTAGTAAAAAAAACAATCAAAACTAAAATTGGATTAACATAATTAAACCAAAAACTACAATTTAAACAATCATTTGAATACCTTTTAATTACTGTATCTTCTATTCTGATTTCAAAAAGACGTCCACAATATTCACGAATATCATCAGGTGTCAACAGAGATTCTTTTTCTTTGTCTTTAATAGAAAACACCTTGAAAAATACGATTAAATGCAGCGTCAAAATGATCTTAATCAGAAGGGAATTAACTTTGTGATCATCTTAAATGTTAAATGTAGTTCTGTTACATTTTTTAAAAGCTTACACATATTTATATGTTTTAGTTTTGGTATTTATGAGCAACTAATTAACTGTACGATTACTCCGCTCTCACCTTGTTGGTTATTTGTAAAATAGCACCCTTCTCGGTGAACGTAATGATTTTTCGTTCTGCTATTTGAATTGGTCACTTTTAACATTATCTCTGTTAAAGTTAAGATACTCATTCGAGTCCACCAGTCTTGAGCGAGTTTTCCAGTAAGTCTAACAATACCTAAAATTTCAAGCCGGTTTTTTCCCTAAATCAGTAATGTGTTAAAATATATTTTGGACAAAACTAGAGATAGAAGAAAAATACTTAGCAGACAATAATCACCTTCATATTTCTTCACATCTAACCTGAGTTTTAACAGCAACAATTTCTTGAGTTCCAGTAGGTACCTCATTTTGTTTATTGGTAGATACGTTGGATATACGATCAGACTCTGACAGTTGAACATTTGGTGATGTTGTTAAACAAGATCTTTTGGTTAGAAGATTACCACGTCTAAATTTACGATATCTATTTCCAAAATGAGTTGATCTGTTATATAGAACGTTATTACAAGTATTTGACACTTCTTCAGCTGCTTTAGGTAACGAATCTACAGTAAATATAATAGAAACAATGATAAGAATTGTAAAAAAAACGAACGATTTAAAAGCCAACTTGAGAATATTGTAGACGTTAAGCTACAAAAAATTAATACCATCAATAGTACCATATGAATTGGTTGAACTTCCTATGACGCTTTGATTACATAATCAAGTGCCATCAGATGTAAACCAGAAAGGTACTTTTTTCATCACTACAATTCATTTTCGCAAGCGAGGAATAAACTTAATTTAAAATATGATAAGTCTATCACATAGTAGTATGAACAATATCATTAAGGACAATAGTAATTAGAGTCATATTGTTAGTGGGATATAGATTGGATTAAAGCATGTTCCGCGCAGGATTGTGTTGGAGTACGCTGACTGGTCACTTCTTAGACAATCAGAGCTAGAGGACAATTGGAGAAGACTCTAGAATCTCCTCATGTAAAATTGTAGTCATATTCACGTCCTTCTTATTGCGAATTTTACTTCCAGTCAATCTTGTTTATTTGGAACATAATCATGTTTCCGTCCAACTGTTTTCCGAATCGGGGACTAGTTAAGTGAAGTAGTGTCTGAATAAATATTAAGCAGTAAGACTAGCTGAGTCGTCATAAGAGAGACCATAATACATGTTGGGTAAATCTATTCTTTTCAGACTGACATACGTTGGAGAACTACAAAAAACCAAAGAACTGAACGAAGTTAGAAATGTGGACCTTCCAACTCCAAATCATAGGTCTAAAAGGATCTTGTACTTTATATGGGATATGGATGTTCAGAAATCCACGTTGCAAAATGTATTTATTGAACACTGCTGAGGGATCTCAACCTCTATTACAAATCGACCAATAAATAGAAACTGCTTTTCAATAGCTCATCATAAGTTGTACGTCGGACAAACCATGGCAAACCTCATGCTGTCTCAAAACAACGAGAAAAAAGTGAAGATGAATGGAAACTCGAACGAATAAATGAGTCGTTCATTGCCGAAGGTCACTATCGACAACATATTCCTACTAATCTCACAACCTATAAATATAATAAGTTAAAAGCATTACTATCCCACTTTCGGAAATAAGACTTCCCGTACAGTTTTAGGTCTATTCACCTGTATAGTTAAATAGGTTGAAAGTACGATCGTGCATTAGTGGCTGAATTGAAACGCGAAACAATAATATAGCGACAGTCAGTGGTGAAAACTATAATCAAATCAAACAAATCTCCATAACCAACCTATATAATGATTTTTACGTAATAAACTGATCTCTACCTGGCCTTAAGAAACCGAAGTCATGAGATGATTAGGTTAAGTGAGGAATGAGTTAAGCTATTTTAGGTAGTGTTATTTTCTCAATCCTACTGTTCATTTCAGGATGAGAAACAATCACCAGACTATTTTATAAATACTCTTTAAGGGATGCTTCAATGACCAAAGGGTTTAACACACCCACTACATGGTAGGTCCAAACCCCTCCTCAACGACTTTAGTTTCGGCAACCGGGAAGTATCTTCGGCTTTCACTTTTGAAGTGCGGCTTGTAGTCAAGTACAACAACTCGTATTTGGTGAGTATTCAATCTTCGATTTCCTTTCAAAATCACAAATTGGTTAGTCTTAAAATTTATGGGTATTTTTAAATATTTAATTAGGAAAATTCCAATAAATAAAAAAATAATGAAAAAATTCTTACTTTGTAAAGATGATGTTTCATTGGATGAACAGTTGATTGAATCTTCACCAACACCATCACTAACATCGTCATTATTATTCAAACGTGGTTTTTTAGCTCGACTATCATCTTCAAATGAATTCTCTTTTTCATCATCACCAGAAGATAATTCACCTTCTTCTTTATCGGAATTTTTACTTTTCACTACATCAACAATATCGCGATTAGTATTATTGTTATCTTCAGGTAATGAAAACGAGTTATTTCTACTACGACTGAATGATACTGAAGCACCACCATCAATTGATAGCTCATCCTCATGCTTGTTATTTATCACTGACACTTCATCTTCTAACGATTCATTAGATAGGTCTAACTTTTGGACTGTTTGTACATCTTCAGATGGGATGTTTGTTGGTGATATTTCAAACGGACAACATACTGTTTTATTATTTAACTCATTCACTGGACTAGTGAATTCTGAAGGGACCTTTATATATATCATAATTAATGAATTAATTATATGAAAAAAAGACGACAAAAGAATAAAAACGACAATGAAAAGATCACTGTTTGGCTGACTGGATAAAACTGAATAGAGTTAATGGTGATACTTTTTGGTATTATAACTATTACGTATATGTAGTATGGTCAAAAGTACCATATTTACACGCACACACAAATATCCCATCATTAATTTACTTTCACTGCTCACAATTGACTAATTTGATCATAGATATGACAAGTTTAATTTGGGAAATGATTTATTATGGAATTAACTAAATGAATATGAATGTTGCGACATACTCAGTTACAACTTGGCTGAACAGTATAGATAGCAAAATTCGTACTCTACTCCCAAACATCTTCATTTCAATGGTCAAGGAGAAAGTTTTTTCGAAAAATAGAAAACTATTGTTAATTTCGTTTTTTTACTATAACACTCAACAAATTGGAGAAGGAAGTAGACATAGGAATGCCATGCATTCTGAGACAAAAACTCCAGCAAAATTACCAAAAGAAAGCAAAGGCTTTCTATCCGAATATGAGGTACTTGCAGTCTGAAACGGTTATGTATTATTGTGCTATTGATTCCTGATTATCCAGTGGAATTTGACTGGATAACATTACCAAGTCTACAGTTTCCGTACAAAAAATATTACGAATTTTGTACACAAAACCTCTGTGTTGATGAAATACGTTTCGATACCTAATTTTAATTCTGTAACTAATGAATCTATTCTAGATAATACAAAAACCACCACAAATACAGAGTCCGTTATACATACAAAACCCTTCGTAAAAAACCTAGGGTGAACTATAAAAATCCAGACCTGTATTTAACCTGTAGTAGATGTGGTGTTCGTATGAAGCGACAACTGCTTTGTACATAAATGAGCACCTTGTTCTAATTCTATTACACTACCACTTGCGTTCATGGTCTTCTTCCTATTTTTGTGAACTGGTCCGTTCGTAGCTAGTGGAGTACTTTCTAGACAGACCCAAGAGTTTGTATATTCCCCACTAAATTTAATACTATTATTATTATGTTTACGTTTGGTAGTAAAACTAAAAGGTGACATCAGTCCAAGAATTCATAGACTGTTGGTCTGCGCCATATTGGTAGATTCAGACTACCATATTGGGGTCCATTTGGTAACGGAGACCAGTGGTTGGAGACTGAGACCGACATGGCTCAAAATTGTTCACAATGGTGCAAAGGAATTTACTTTTTGTCTTCTTCGAGATCTAAGGTCCTATTGTTGCTTCACAAATACTTTTTCATTCCATCTTCGAAAATTATATTTTCAGTGTTTAATTTTTATCACTGATATTTCTGCTAAAATCATTTAAAACTATTTGTCATTCACCTTGTTAATTTTATCTGACTTGTCCAACGTTCTTCGTTGATATAAGTGAGCGATTAAGAAGGTAGGATAGGCGGCAATCATCGTAGCAACATAGTCAAAATATCAAAATGAGTCTGATACATGGTAAAAAAAAAGTATAAAATAGTACGCTAAGTGTTTAAATCAAGACCAGGGCTGCATAATTTCAATGGACTTGATTTTAAGTACCCACGAGGGTGCAATTGACAGCTTGGTATTATTATTATGTAGCTGGTAACTAGTGAATTTCTTTAAGTAAAAAGTCCTTAACAATTATGTGAAAACTTCGATTTCAAGTTGACACACTGAATCTGAATTCACGAAATGCAACCATGCATAACTATCTATTTTTAATGTGACTACAGACTATGAACTACGGAAACATTGTAATGAAAGTTACAAACGTATTTGTTTAGCAAACGATAGTAATCTTGATACTGTGGAAAAATATCTGTATAGATACAATGGCAAAATAATTCTCCGTTCAAAGATGAAAGGGGATGTAACTAAGAGAGAAGTAAAATAAATGCGCAGTGTGATGACAAATGCCATACCGAAAGGAAATCCATAAATTATGAAGTTAAAATGAACTTGTCAGTTTTGAATGGATAGTTGTGCGGAAAGCTATGAATATTTGTTAAACGAATTTTAACAAATCAGATTATATGATAAAAGTCATTGGAAAAGATTAAGTTCGTACAATTTTTTAGTCCAGGATAACATGCATGATAAATCACCGAGGCACATCAATACAATGCTGAAAATTTACCGTATGAGATTCAGTTGGATAAAAAAATTTTCCACTAGCTTTACGATAAGCCAAACATGGAATAGCCGATACAGGAATACGATGGTGACGTACACTACTCGGTCCAATAGAATATGGTCTTGAAAGTGTCACCACTCGGCTTGATCTGTGTAAATATACATTAAGTCCAGAAATATGACGTAGTTGGAGCCAACCCTCAGGTAGTAGACCAAAATCAACTGTTTCAACCATATCTGTTGTTAAGAAGTAATAATGTTGTTTAGAAAAAAACATATTGTGAAAGTACACTACACATTTTAATATAAATGAGGTTACTTAGGTTTCAACTGTGTATTCAAATGTCAAGGATACAGAATGAAAATTTCTCAAAAAGAAAAGTGCTACTTCCTTTTTAGAAAAAGCGACATTTTGTATTAAATACAGAATAAAGTCAGTGATTTTATTCTCTTCATGACATTTTCAGTGATTTTTATTACATCGATATCAGTAAAGGGTCGGGAAGAATAAGGTAGAATGTATCTTATAGCAGAATACCTCAGAAACACACACGCATAACCCACTTCGAGACTGAACAAAGAAAATTGTGAAGCTGTGCAACGAGAAAATCTCTAGAATATTTATTTTGATGTGTGACTGATGTACTTAGCTATAGTTGATGACAGAATAAGAGTTTCGGTAAAGGAAACCTACGTTTTTTTTTTAAAATATGATCGGTGTAAACTAGGAATCGGTGATCCATGAATGTTTATTCTAACTTACTGGGGCGTAGACAAGTAATAACATCTCAATTTGTATACTTATTTTTTGATATCCTCTTTACATATAGACTATGTACTATGGAAACTGTCAGTTAAGAAAATAGATGTTTAAAGTGGCACAGGCAATTATGTCTTATTTATAAGGAATAAAACTTCTGCAAATATATTAAATTTAAAAATGATCGTATGCAAAAACCGTCTTACGAAAGTAAGAATAAATACAATTTTTCATCCATTTTAGAACGGTGAGTTATTAATGCAAAACAAAACCTTGTAGTAGCCATTTACCAGTGGTTGAACAGAATTACGGTCCCACACTAACAAGCTGTAGTTAACATCCTTAAGTGAAGAACAACGCGTAGTTACTTAGCTACCATAACAATATTCTAACTATTATGTCATAACCGTTTAATAATGGTTGTTTGCGAACCCCAATTCTGAATAATTACGGTGATATGAATTCGGACCCATTCATTCAGGAGATGTAAGTATATTACACATAGAAATGTAGTAACAATAGTTTCATGATGAAAATTATAACCACTACTAAAAAGGCAATCTGCAGCATCAAACGATTAAAACACTTGCCTTTACGACCCAGATAGGGGTGAGTTATCTCTGTCAAGCCAGAACCTGATATGGATGCGCTTTGGCACAAGGTACCATACCATGTTATCATGGCGACATGGAAATGACAAGATGAATAAATAAAATCAAAATAATGCGGTGTCAATGACGTTGAAAAAGACTAATCATTGAGAATATGGTTCAACAAGATTTACCAAAGAATACTTGAATACGAAATCGAAAGATGAAAAGTGACTGCATTTGTGCTCCCAAATGTCCTGGTACGGCCGAGAGTGGAGGGAGCCAGCTCTTCCTCTCAAAATGCTCTCACATGGCCACGCGTATATAGCCTCTGCCAGGGAAGTCCTACTCACTGCCTTCTCGCACCACGGGTATTGTTTATGAAATTGAGAGGACGAAAAACGAATGTCCGGCGCTTTAACTGGATTGGTGGACACAGAGGGTTCACCTGGGGGAGTTGGAAAATCCTGATTCCAAACCAATGGTGCACATGGGCCCCGGTACCCTGTATGAACCAATCGCTGGTCACCGGCTACCATGGGACTGCAGTCAGTCAGCTCCAACGTAGGACCAGGCACATATATGCATCTGTCCAGGTTGCCATACCGCATTAGCACAAAAAGATGAACACCAATTTCATACAAGCAGTTAATTCAATGGTGGTAATATATAAAAGAAAGATTGCATGTAAGGACATAGTACACGAAGAAAGAATTATTTTGTTTATTTTATTTATTTGAACACATGAATATTGGTACAAGAGAGCGCCAATATATATGCGCCACACAAAACAATGAGAATTCGAATAGAAATAGAAAAAAAGCTAAGGGGCGCACAAAAAAGAGAACAATAACGAGGAGATTGGTGTAAGGTAGTATGGTAGAAATGAGGGAACGGAAAGGTACAATCAGAAGAAATCTTTCAGGTAAGGGAGACACAACCACTTTTTATGAAGAAAGTAAAATAAGGTTACAACAAGATCGCCACTGGCTTCTATTCTGAGCCATATCTGATAACGTCTCTAGCCACTGTGCAGCACCATCTCTCAGGCCCCAACCAGGGAGTCATGAAGGACCAACAGAAGCCAGACCTTTGCAGCTTTCCTTCATGCCACGACACCATGTCATGCACTGACCACCTCTCCGCTTCTTCCAACCAGTCCCAGAGTCGGCAAATAATGCACGACGTGGAATTCTCTGGGACGACATTCGTAGAACATGTCCAAGCAACCGAAGTCGGTGTTTCAAGATGGTGACACCAATTGAATTATAATCTCTGTGCCCGAACACACGATGCCGAACCTCTGCATTACTGACATGGTGTTGCCACTGAATGTCAGCAATCCTTCGGGGACAGCGATGATCGAACACAGAGAGTCGTCTAACGTCCTCAACTCGGAGAGACCAGGTTTCACAAGCATAGAGCAAAACTGCTCTCACCGACGCGTTGTAGATCCGACCTTTTACAGCCAGACTAACATCACGAAGGCGCCAAAGATGGCCCAGATTGGCATAAGCCGCTCTGGCTTTCACTATTCGTGCATTGATCTCATCACTCACACCCCCACCAGCACTTATGCAGCTACCCAGATACACGAACTTCCCGGCTACGTCTATCTGCTCACCATCCAGGGTGAGTACAGGATTGGAATCCTGCCAGTCTTGTAGAAGTACTTTGCACTTCGAAGGTGCAAAGCACATACCATACCTACGGACATTGATCGCCAACTGATTAAGTGCGGATTGCATGGCTTGGGCATTATCGCGCAGTAAGACAATATCATCCGCATACTCAAGGTCAAGAAGTCTTTCTCCAGGCAACAGATCCACACCACCATTACTTACATCCATCAGAGCTGTTTCCAGAATGTCGTCGATGGCAAAGTTGAAGAGGAATGGTGAGATTGGGCAACCCTGTCTAACCCCACTGCTCGAATGGAACAATGGAGAGAGGTGGTTGTATGCCCTCATTCTGCCTAAGGTGTTTGTACATAAAGCCTTTAAGATATTAATAAACTTCTCATGCGCACCGTTCTTCAATAGACAATCCCAGAGAACAGCCCTGTCCAACGAATCGAAGGCAGCCCTGACGTCAAGAAACACTACGATTGTTGGCCTTTAGTAAGTATGGCGGTGTTCTAACATTTGGCGGAGGGTAAAGATATGATCAATACATCCTCGACCAGAACGAAACCCAGCCTGCTTCTCGCGAGTCAATCTTTCTCGGGTTTTGAACAACCTACGAAGCATGACGGAAGCCAATAGCTTGGACGCAATCGGAAGTAGACTTATCCCTCGATAGTTGTTACAAGAACAACGTGAACCCTTTTTAAAGATAGGGACAACTATCGACTCATTCCATGACGTTGGTACACTCTCTAGCTCCCAGACCTTTGTAAACAACGTCGTCAGTTCCTTAGTCAGAAAGTCACCACCATCTTTATAAAGAACCGGAGCTAAGTCATCTGGGCCAGGTGATTTGTAACGCTTCAAGAGTTGGAGTTCCTTGCGGACTTACGCCTCATTTGGTGGATCAGTCGTCACCGGCCATGGAGGGCAGGACAGTCTGACCGATGTTGCCGGAGCAGCAGGCCAGTTGAACTGCCCTTCGAAAAATTCTGCCCATCGTCCAAGACGTCGATGGATGTTAGTGATTGGCATCCAATCATCCTCGCAGATTGTTTCACTCACACCAGACTTCTTGCTGCCAGTGGCTCGGATGAGTTGGAAGGGCTTCCGGCAGTTACCAGATGCAGCTGCTGCTTCCAGCTCATTAGCACGCTCCGACCACCAGGCTTCTCGGTCCTTACACAAGCTTTGCCCAATTTCCTTACGTAACATCCTTCGTTTATGGTCAAACTCACGGTCACCCGGAGTAGACCGACGGACTTCAATGAGTTGTAAGGAACCTGCAGAAACCCAGTGCTTATAAGCGGGACGTTTCGCGAACCCACAACTGACTGTACCCGCCATTTTCATGGCGTCACGCAATTGCAACCAATGCTCATCTATACTTTTCGGTGGAATGGTAGCTAGCCTAGAGGCTAGCTCGGTTCGATACTTACTTGCAACAGAAGTTGCAACCAGCTTGCTAATATCAATCCGTTGATGGCGGTCACTTCGTTGTCCACTGAAAAGTAAGGCAAGATCGGCGCAGACCAAGGCATGGTCAGAGTCCAGATAGGTACTCCAAAAGGAGCGGCAGTCTTTTACACAACCACGCCAGCGGTAGCTGATCGCGATGTGATCAATCTGAGTCCAGGCTTGAGATGCAGAAAGAGGACGCCAGGTGGCACATCGGCGATGACTGTCCCGAAAGTTAGTGCTAGCCAGAAACAGGTTGTGGTCTGTGCGAAGTTGCAGTAGACGGTCCCCGTTATCTGACCTGCGACCAACGAGTCCCCATCGGCCACCTAAACGACTCTCTTCTGTGCCTAGACGCCCGACCTGAGCATTCAAGTCTCCGGCTAGTACTACAATATCTGTCGAACGCACTTTCTGGAGAAGAACAGATAACTGGTGGTAAAACTCATCCTTGATTGCATCCGGGCTGCAATCTGTCGGGGCATAGGAGGAGATGACGAAAATACATCGTTTCTCACGCCGATTTCTTCTCACTTTGATGGAACTTTCCAATCTAACAGCACATAACCGACTGTTAATGGGGATCCAATCGATTAGTGCTGCCTCAGCTCTAGCGCATAGTGCGACACCAACGCCAGTGAGACCAGACGAAGATGCCACAGGGTCCCCGGATAAGCGCACAAATGATGAACTCTCTATGTCTAAGAAAGAATTAGTTAGTAGAAAGAAAGATATAAAGCAATTTCAATCTCACAGTTTAAGGGAAGACAAAGAGTGTATACACCGACGCCATTGTGACCGATTTTGAGCCATGTCACCAAGAGTCTCCATCCATTAGTCACGATAGTCACACGGACCACAACCAAGTAGTCTGCATCTACCAACAAGGTCCTGACTAGAAGTTAGTGTCCTCAAGCACTGATGCCATGTTTTGGTTTGGCCGCCCCTAACTTTCTTCCAACCATCTCCAACACTGGTTAGCATTGTACGTCGTGGTAATCAGTGTTCAGGTATACGTAACACGTGGCCCAACAATCTCAGTCGATGAAGATTCACAACCTCATAAACTGATTTACCATCATTCCCTAATACCCTGCGTTGAACCTCACTATTACCTACCCAGTGATCCCAGCAGATGCGACCAGTATTTCTAAGACATCTGCGATTAAATACTAGTAGCTTACCAGTATCTTCTACTCAATGGTCACGTTTCGCAACCATAAAGTAGAACAGAACGAGCTGCTGTGCAGTATACTCGTCCCTTAATAGATAGACGGATATGTCGCCCTCGCCACAGGTGATGTAAGCTGGCAAGAGCCAAACGAGCTTTGGGAATCAATGCTGAGATTCCGTCAGACATTAACCCATTTGGGCTGATCAGACTTCCAAGATAAGTGAAGTTGTCAACGCGTTCGACTACTTCACTCCCTATCCTTAGTTCAGGTGTTGATGCAGACCGGTCCTGAAGCAACAACTTGCATTTAGAGTGAGGGAAGCGCATGCCAAACATTCTGGCATTGTTACTTAGGGCTACCAGAAGACTCTGCATTTTATCAGCGTCTTCACTAAACAGGACTATGTCATCTGCGTATTCTAAGTCGATAAGTGGACCTCCTGGAAGGAGATCAATGCTCGAAAATTCGGTCAATAAGAGCGTTATTTCCGTCAGTAGGTCTATGATGAAGTTGAACAAAAATGGAGAAAGTGGACAGCCTTGACGGACGCCACTTGAGGTCGCAAAACCAGATGACAGTTCGCCATAGGCTCTCACTCGGCTAGTAGTGTTCGAGTAAAGAGCCTTTACAAGGTTTATGTACTTCTGACAGACACTGCCACAGAATTTCGCGGTCTACCGAGTCAAATGTTACTTGTAAGTCAGGAAAGATCACCATTGTCGGACGCCGATAAGTATGCCTGTGTTCTAGAACCTAACGAATGGTGAATATATGGTCGATGAAGCCAAAATTAAGTCTGAAGCCAGCCTGATTTTCTCGTGTTTGCAGTTCACGAGTCTTAGTTAGGCGTCTGATAATTGTCGAGGCTATTACTTTAGATACCATATTAGTCAAACTAATCCCTCTATGGTTGTCACAGGATGATTTTGGCCCTCTCTTATATATTGGGACGATAAGTGATTGTGACCAGTCAAATGTGATTACGTCCAAGTCCCAGATCTTAGCTAAAATATTAGTCAACCTAGTCGCTAAAATTGGACCACCATCCTTAAAGACCTCTGGAGCCAATCCATCTGGACCAGCTGCCCTTCCTCGTTTCAGATTAACTATAGCCTTTTGAACTTCTGCTAGAGTTGGGGGACCTACTTCAATGTTCCATTCACACTGTCTGGGAATGGAGGGTAGTTGTAGAGTAGCTGAAGGCCAGCTGAACTGTTCTCTGAAATGTTCCGCCCATCGTTCTAAACGTCTGGACTGAGAGCAGATGAGGGTGTCGTCCTTTTCCGAAATAGTCTGACTTACACTTGACTTATTAATCCTAGTTTCTTTTATTAGTCTGTAGAGCTGTCTTGTGTTCCCTATAATAGCCGCCTTTTCCATCTCCTTTGCTTTCGTTGCCCACCACTGCTCACAGTCGTTCCTTAGACTTTTTCTTAACCTAGATCTGATTTGTTGTCGCTCTTCATTGTGTTTAGAGCCTGATGGGATAAGTTTACGAGAGTCAATCAGTGCAACAGACCTTGAAGAAATCCATTGGTTTTTAGTAACCCTGTGGTTTAAATCACTAATACATGTCACTGCTGTTTCCACAGCTGTTTGTATAGCTTTCCAGGCAACATCTGGGTCAGCCTCGTTTTCAGAACTACCTAAGTGTGACCTCAGTTGTTCCTGGAATCTACTTTTGGTTTTCTCGTTACTCAACTCAGTTCTAATGGGTCTTTTTAATGTGGCTTTTTTGCGTCCAGTGAGGCGCAAGCAGATGCGTGCCCTCAACCCTCTCCAACGATGACTGATGGCAATATGGTCTATTTGAGTCCATCGTTGGTTTGGTGCAGGCGGTCGCCACGTTAGACGATGTCTCTCCTTATGCTTAAAATTAGTGTTTTCTAAAAATAAACGATTGTTTGAACACAGTTGCAGTAGACGATCACCATTATCTGTTCGTTGGGCCGGAATACTAAAATACCCACCTAAATGCCTTTGTTCGGTTTAAACTACCTATCTGGGCATTAAAGTCACCTGCTACGAGTACTATGTCTGAACGTTTAGCTTTCTGAAGAAGTTCAGATAGCTTTATGTAAAATTTATCTTTCACTTCATCTGAGCTGCAGTCGGTGGGAGCATAGGCAGAAACGACAAAAAGGCAACGACGTTTGTCCCTATCCTTCCGAGTTCTTACGGAGCCGTTTAACCGAACAGCACATAGACGACTGTTAACAGGGATCCATCCTAACAATGCTTGTTCTGCTCTCATGCTTAGTGCTATGCCCACACCTGCCAGTCCACGAGAACTAGCCATCGGGTCACCAGATACACGGAGGGTGTATATCTTCGGCTCTCCGTTTTTCCGAGGTGAAGTCAAGTGAATGACCACACTGGGATCCTGTATGTGTGTTTCGGAGACACAACATACATCAATGGTAAGAGATTCTAGGATTTTAGCCAAGGAAGCCTGATGACCGATTTGACATAGGGGCGTAGGTTGGAGGCTCCAATGTATAGTTTGAAGCGAGATTTCAGTAGACCTGGGACAGCGTTTTGCGTACTAAAATCGTTGGCTATGGTCACACTTGAGGAGGAAGCCAAAATAGGAAGTTTAGCGTTGAAAGTCGATGTAGGAGGAATAGTAGGAATTGAAGAGAGAGGTTGATTGTGAATACAGTGGTCTTGAGTGTTGTTAGAGGTATGAGGGCGGTTGTCACTTCCCGGTTGCCCACACCGTGGAAGGGTTCTTCTGGAGGTGCCTGAAAAGGAAATTGGATTAGAGGTGGTCTTAGTGACCTGAAAGCGTGACCGCAGTGCCCAAGGGACGACTGCTTGACATCGGTCACACACGACCTTTTATGAGTAATTTTTGTGTTAGCTCCGGTCTTGCTGAGACCTTACCGCCGGAGACGGATATTCGCGGGATAAGGCGAGATGTGCATTTTTAGGGTTGATCTTATCTAACCCCACCCCTTCTTGTGGGAAGGCAGCATCGCTGTCATGCTGGTTGTCTGAAGGAAACACCTTACTGCTGTCACACCTCTGTACATTCAGCAGTACGACTTCACCTTCGGACCTTGGGTTTGTTGCTTTAAGTCTTACCGCTCTTCAACTGACCTGTTTGACATGGTAGGACCTTGAGGAACGGTTGTTCCAGCCATTATAGCTCGGTTGCTTCATCACGATAGGCAAGCTTGACCACCACGTCAAGGTAGCAACAACGGTCGGGACCATGGGACTGCATCTCCTTACGATGCTCCACTGCCTTGTGGATCAGACTTTTAGGTCGAAGGCTCCGGGTGTGGCCCCCTAAGAGAACCATATGCTTCGGTTTGGGCACACGGGCAGTATCACAGCCCATACACAAGTCAAATGAGATTTGTGTGGCGTATATGTATTCGGTTCCCCTCTGTACCAATATTTATGTGTTCAAATAAATAAATAATGTGTGGTGAGAACTCATCTAATCACTCAGTCAATCGTATTAATATTACTATGTTCAAAAAACTATCAAAACAACATAATGTACAAATCCTATGCATATGGAATGCTAGATAATCTTGAAACAATAACAACAATAGTGAAACTAGACAAAGTTTCATGAAAAATTATTCAGGTTGTTAGAAGAGAGGAACTAGGTTAAGAGTTGTTTCGGAATGTGTGTAAAACAACAAGCTGAATTGTTTGCATATCCTTTACAACACTAATCGGACGAAATTATAGTCAGCCTGAACATGCAAAATATCTTGAAAACACTGATGATTACAAGACCGGAATGCTGTTTTATTTTGCTGGAGAAATAATGAGACCAGGAAGTAAAACTACATTCTGTGGAAACTGCTAAGTTACGTGAACTCAGCTAGTATTTCATTGAAAATCGCAAATGACAACTTCTTGAAGGAAGTGTATTTGGGAAATCTTAAAAGCATTGTAACATATGTTGCCCCAAACATTTTACATAAAAAAAATATAAATGTAAATAACAAGTATACTAACCATTTATCACAAAACGCTTTTCTTTTATAACGGAGCGCTTTCGCTTGAACTCCATACAATCATATACATTTATATTTGAATTTACATTTGGAATGTTTCCACTAGAATCTTCTGTAACTATAGTTCCCAAAGAGTTTGTACCATCTTTCTTTATTTTAAAATCTTTAGATGATAAAAACGATGTATTACCTCATCACCCAATGAACCATCGCACAATTGCACATCCATAATATTATTTAACAGTTAGTTATAGTAGTGTTATTCACTAAGTAGTTAACAATATAAGTGTTGTCGTATTACAAAATGTACTTCACTGAAGTTCTTTCTGAAATGGAAAAAACGTAACAGTCTGAAGCTGACTTCGAAAACCCACAAATTCATATGACTTTTTCTCGAAACTTTTCTGCTTTTTAGTGATTTACACTATGTAGAAGCACATGTCTAGATACATAGACATGAATTTACGAAATACTAAAAAGATAAGTACATCTAAACTTAAATTCAGTTTTTTATGTGAAGGTCACTCAAAATTTACGTTATCTTAGAGAAGTGGATCATACTTACATAACTATTATTTAAGTGTATTTCAAAAAAATAGAACAAAGGAAAAGTTAGACATGAGTTAACAAACACATGAGATTACCTGGTTGTTAGTACTTTAAAAGTATGCAATTAATAACGTTGAAGACCACAATATATCAGATGCGATAAATTCAGGATTATTTTTTCACGCACGCTATCAATATGTGGTCTAAATCTGCTAACCGAAGCGTATTATCAAATCATTTGAGGTTGCATGCTACCGAGGTAATGAGATTCGGTAGGCTGGTCGGTGATGAGCTTTGACCTGAATGGGTCTTAAAATTAATGCTAGGGAGTAGTGAGAAACAAGACTATTATAAGAAATCCACAGATTGTTTGGAATTGGAATATCTGTAACTAGCTGGATTCGCCAATTGAAGATCAGATGAAATAAACTCTTTATCCAAGTCAAAGATTCAACAGGAGAGTAGGTACAAAAACTTTAGAATTCGGGTTTATTTTGTAGAGGTTTTGACATATCTTGTTATTGGTATACTTGACTGAATTTTGATTAGTCCTAGTTGGCATATGTGTATCTTATGCGAATTGCCTCAATACTTTTTTTTAAAGTTCTATAAAAGGGATAGAAGTTGGCTATCAGCGGAATACATAACGTGCATTTCGTCACACCTGGGACTCGTCAGCTGGCGCAACTGCATCCCAAAGTTGATGTTCAGCCCTAAATTCGGACCCAGTGTCTTTTGCTTTAAGTGCCAGTAGATAATGAGTTGGCATTTGAAGCGGAAGATATTGAATTCAAATCCCATGGTGAATATCGACTTTGGGATGCAAGTATTCAGTGAACGAGTCCCAGATAGGAGGGAATGAACGTCCTGGATCCCACTGTTAGTCTACCTCTTCCATAAAACTTAGAATTCAGGGCTTTTAGTTGGTGAGGTTTTGGAGACCAATGTTTCAGAAATCCCTTAAGCACCCTGAGCTTATACTAAATAAGCATTTGCAACCTTAGAACTAACTAGTTAGCGCTATGCTTTTTGGTGGAAGAATTGGGAGTCAATACAGTTACTATCATAAAAACATGGTTCGTAAGACATCTGGAAAGTACTACTTCTCATAGAGTACATGCATACACTCTTACTCGTGTAAATTTATACATTGGAGTCATACAGCAGTGAAAAATGTGAATAGACAGTCGTTTAATCATTTGAAAGTAGGGTTTGATGACCAGTAATGTACCGTAGCTCAAGTTGTCTTGGAATAACTTTATAAGCAGAGATAGTGGTGGCTAGAAGTCAAATCCAGTAATAGACTGATTAGTTGCAGTCCTAAACATCAATGAGAAGATTCAAACAACCAACACAAAAATGGGGATGACTATGTTTTCTTTCGGTATTCATCGTGATAGTTTTATTTCTTGTACTGATGTGGCTTGACAACTAGAGCCGATAGACATTTAAGCCATGATCTAGGTTGTTTTTACTGCTTTTGTTCTCAGTTGCATCTGTACTTGGAGCAATACTGACGGTCATTCTGTCTTGACGAATTCAAACGGACCCTATATCAACAGAAGCCCTTCACTACCCTTGTTAACAGACAACCTACAACTGCGGAGTTACAAGTACTGGTGATGATAGACTAAAGCTCTTATTTGATGCAAGTGAAATAGACGTTGCAAAAGTTAGCCCCTAGGAATAAACTTTGGGGTTGATAGCCACTAATACACCGATCGTATACCACTTTCATACGTTTTGATATAAAAAGCTTAGATGTAATCATAAGTCGTGAAAACGACTGGATACTGCAATGTAATAGCTGCTAAGACGCTTTGTAGGTTACGGCCACTTCAGAGAAAGTGGTTAAGCAAAGACTTTGTATGCCATCTACAAAAGAGCTTATTCAAAATGCTATATCTAAACGTTAAATACGCAATTAATTAAAGATGCAGATACTTTCGGATATGTACAAAGAGGTACTAGTTTGATAGTACGACATTACAATATCTCTTATGAAGCGAAGGTTATTTTCTTGGCTCTATTTCTATCGTGAGATGATCTCATACAGGGATCCCGTATTTTAAATAATAAATTACTTGGGTCTAGTCTTTTTGCTTACTCTAAGAGCAACCATTTTGGAGGCCATCACAAAATGGTTTTCAAATTACGATCGAATAAACTTGAGTTATAATTTCGTCCTTATAGTGACCAACGGATGGAAACCCCTACTCGAAAGTGATATTGGACTTATCAGTGAGCGATTCCAAAGAGAAAACTGGATCTTTAAGGAAACATAAAGCACAAGTATTATTGAAGACAAACCAGCATATCTTAATTACTAAATATTGAGTAATTGTGGTGTTTGTATGAACTAACGATTCCTTTGTACTTGATGTTTGCCTGATTTCGAATTCCAAATACAATACGAGCATTAGTGTTCATCTAGGGAGAAAATAAAATACGAAACCCGCAAAAATGATACATATTTAGGTTGCCAAGACCTACTAAGTTGTGGAAAAGCTAAGAAAACTAGGAATTTTCTTCATGGTAACTACAATGTCGTTCATGGTCTGTCATCTTACCTAACTTGTATTTCTAGTAAAAACTGAGCGGAGATAGCGTTGGCTGTGACATGAAAATCGAGCTAACATATCTTGATTAGCGGTCGAAGGCATATGTGTTAATGTGCAGATTTAACAACAATCAAAATATTAGTTCTCGTTGGTACACTGTATCCAGAAGCCTTTTAGCATATTTTTGTGGCCAATTACAACATACTTGTGTACGAGTTCATTGGATCTTTGATGTAAATACAAACTACTCATATTATGTATTTCCCTTCCTCTGTCCTAATTTCTTGATATCGGCCCATATGGGGCGAAATTCTACGATCAAAGTGGATGATGGTGCTTTTTTTCCTTATTTCACAGAACTATAGTTTTGTAACGTTAGCAGATCTGGAAACACCTAGAAATGCTCATAAATTGTAGTCATCCACTGTAGCTACATGTTTTAGGACTTAATTAAGTATGCCCATAACACCAAATATTTGGTGTTATAGATTCCATGGAATCTATGAATAAGCTTTAGAATAACTTCGTTATTGAAGGAAAGTCTTGCTGGTTTTCCTTCAAATGGATATGATCCCAAAGTGAAATAAAGGTATAAATGATAAAGAAACACCACCATACCAACCTCTATGCTTCGACTTACCGACTCCTTTGGTTATGAGTGTCGTCCTTGGGCTATTCTCAAAAAGACCAATCAGAACTGTCCTATTTAGCTATTGGCTGCTTTAGATAAAATATTTTGAGTGATGCACGAAGGTTAACCATCTGCAAGTCTATGTCCAATTTCAGTGAGTTTTGGTGACTGGATTTTGTCGTTCATTCATCTATGTAGGGTGTCATGGATTAAGTGTCTCACTTGATGATTTTGTTTCGTTGTTTCTACGATGTCATTGTAGTTGTCGCTGTTTTAGTTTCTGTTCGAGTTTGAAAAGGACATGAGTCTGAGTAGCATGTGTAAGTCCTGGAAATGGTAATCTCTCACTGAATCCAACCTTCAGAATTGAGTAATAGAGCTTCAACCGCATGCTAATGTTACAAATTTCATTCGTTCATGGTTCGATGGGAAATTTCAGCAATCAGCCGATTAGTAATTTGTTCAAGGTTAGTGAACATTTCGGTGTTCTCGTAAATTCTTTGTTTTATAAGATGAAAAATGATGGCAGATTAGATTCAAACTTCTCGATATTGAGACCTAGTCTCTTCAGAACCCAATCGCCTAAATCTCTCCCACATTCTTCTCTTACGGACAAGAGTGACAACCTCATTACTTAACCACGGTGGGGGGTTTCTCGGACTTCTTGGTGTAGTCCAAGGGATGTACGGTGCAGTGACTTTTATGTATAGTTTTTTGACTACTTTCCAAACCGTTTCAATTAGGGATTCAGGTTCCATTGTTCAATCTACTGATGGAAAAGTGTATATAATATCTTCAATATTTACTTTCCAGACGTTTGGTTTGACTTGGGGTGACACATCCTCGTTATTGACAACTAAAACAAAATGAGAGACTAGAAATGCATCGTCAATTATACCCAGGGTTGATGTATAATGAAGGTTTGTTACGTCATCCTTATAATGGTTGGATATGAGATTTAGTGGAAATGATTCGAAGTCTGGGACTCACCTCGTTGCTCATTTTGTATGTTGTGATAACCGCGTAAACTAGTTTCTGTTTGAAGGAATTTTCTGAAAACTCAGTCCTTGTATTTTTTCAGTCTACCGTAGTTTCATTAAAGTCTCCTAACATTACAAGTCGACCACTTGATGACCAAGTGTTGAAACCATATAGCAAGACCTCAATCGCCTCACATTTTCGATTGAGGTGCACTAAATCAATCAACAACCCTTGTCGTTTGGACTCCAAGCTACAACTAACTAACACGTCTCACTTTTATGGGATGTGTTGTCAACGACGGCAAATGGGGGAGCATTTTTAATGAATAGAGCTACTCTCCCTTTACGTTTCAGGAATCTATTGGCTCTTACTAATGTGACACTTTCGAAATCAAGTTTCCCGTGGTCTGCAGACTGTGTCAGCCAAGCTTCTGTGACAACGGTTACATCCGGCTTGGAAGAGTCTCTGTAAACCTAGCTCCGATCGCTTATGTTAGCAAGCTCCGTGTATTTGTATGATAGATCAGAATACCACTTAAAAGTTCATGCTGTATCCAAAGTAGCTCCGGAACCATTTTCTGTCGAAGCCTTACCACCTGAGAACTCGTAATCCTAAGGTCCATATCAGCATCTAACCTTAGTTTAATTTCTTTTTCAGCTTCTCATCTGTTTATAGTGTCCGCAAGCGGCAAGTCTTGACGGACAAAACCCATGACCCCTTAGGTTAATTTTCATTTTTTGTTCTTAATTTGTACTCATCCATCAGCTTTCGTTGGAGTAGCAATCACAGTCACATTACTCACACTATGCGCCCCTGGACGATCATCAATGATTAGATGGTAAGTTTTCCTTTCCTGCTGGAAACAGAGGTGGTGTTGCTAATAGTCTTTCTGGACGTTTCCTGTTTGCTTCCATTTGGAGTGCGGGGACAGAAGAAAATTATTTGCCCGAGCCATTATTCCTAACAGATCTCTCTGAACTTGGTCCTTCGTTCTTTGCCTTTTTTAAGTCAGTTGACTCATGTAAACGGCTCATCATCTCATCACCGTGAATGGTGGGAAATTTTTTAGAATGTTTTGATGCTTGATGTTTGTTACATAACTCCACGGAAAATGTCATTTAACTTCATTTCGCAACTGCTGATGGTAGAGAATAACATATTTCATCAGAAAATTTAACATATCTTCTAAAATCGACCCTATTTCTGACTAGCATGCAATAGAGATTACAAACCAATCACTTGCACGTGACTAGGCCATCAGACGTTTAATAATACAGCATCAAACGAGCATTTAATCGCAGTTTCAGTGAACAACTGTATACTCAACTTTGTGATCGCCTGATCGCTCGTATAAGTAATCCGAAACTAGAAAAGCATCTTGTTAACATTTCTTTCCGCAACTGTTTAACAATACAATACGTTAAGTTTACTTATGATGTCAACGGTGACCCTCGACATGTCGTTACGAGTCAACATGATGTTTAATGTCGATGAATCTAACATTCTATAAGAATATAAGATCTCTTCTAAAACGAGTGGTTTCAATTCACTGAGGAGGATGAATAATTTTAAAGTCTTTCAATTTGTTTTGGGGTGCCTAATCCTGACTTTCATGTAGTAAACTGCACCTTCGTAGTTCATGTAGTTGTCATAATGGACGTTGCCTTAAATGTTTGAAGGTTGGACGTATACAAGAAGTTCGTAGTATTCCCAAGTCATTTACTACCAAAACACTGAGTGATTTTGGATCGAGACCAGCTGATTTGGACGGAAGTATAGATTTGTTATCGCTTAAAATGTCTTCAGCAGTACTACACACCTAATCCAGAAATTAATTGCAAACAGACAAGTATCACTCTTTTTTGTTGATACTGGTGTCATATGGTCAATTAGTTACGAGAGAAACTTGTTTTATTGTACTGATGTCCATTTAAAACCTACAAGTAGTGCAGTTAATATTCTTTTGAAGAAAGGGGAGGTTAGTTGTATCAACCTTTCCTAGTGTATTGGATTCTCTTGGTTTGTAAATGCAACGTGTGAGACAGCTTAAGAGGAATAAAAAGTAGGTTGAAATAGGATTATATGAGAAAGACCTATATAAAACGATGAGGAGGTGAGCATTAGGCGTACGAATAAAAGTTTGTTTTCTATGTGAAGTATGAAAATCCAATCAGTACACTTAGAAGTGAAGGGAGTTTGGTGTCGGTTACTATGTTAAGCTCGTATAACTTATTCTAGCTTCTGAACAAGCCAATTTATCCGTTATTCTTGAGTCACGTTTTCACCTTGTTAATTATTTACTTATCAGCATTAAGTGGTTTTATATGGGCGTATGTGTGTACTTCTTATCCTATTCATCATGCCTTGAACTTATTTTTGTATGACTATAAATATTGATTCACACTTAACAGATTTCTTTTTCTCCTTTTATCGTTAATATACCTATATTCCTGCCTAGAGGCATAGGTGATCCATTGCTACCAGATATGGAAGCCTGTTAAGCGAAAGCCTCTTCTATTCCATCCACAACCATTTGAACCGTTGGAACCATTTTAATTAAATCACATTGACTCACACTCCATCTCCACTGCACGTCATTTTGCTTTGTACTCTTCTCACCGCTTCATTCCTCTGACTGTCCGTCCAAACCAGTAAGTGTACAAAATATACGTATTCAGAAATTTATTCTCGTAGTTGACTTATTCAATTCCGTTATTCCCTAACGTGACTTTAGTCGATAATTATATACGGGGATAGACATGTATATTTTGAAAACAATCATTCATACGATCTAACTGGAGACAGATATCAAGCCGTTAATGAGAAGCCCGTCTTCCTTGAGCATGGATGAACTCTATGTGATTTAAGAGAGGCTGTGAAGGATGGGTTAAACTGGTAAGAAAATGTAATGATCCCAGTTAAGTGATCCAGTTGGTCTACTTCTATTGTGACACCATTAAATGCAGATGGAAAAATATCTATAATTTGTAATAACTATCACTCGGCATTAAATACTCCGCTATTTCAACAGAGTTTTACTACCGTAAAAACCAAAAACATACTATATAAATAGAGAAGGTCAATGTATTTTAATAAGATATTACTGAAGTATGCGCATTTACAAATTCCAGTAGATGTAACTTCTGGTCAGCCAACTATTATTAGTACATTATTCTGGCTGTTCGGATGCGAATTCATATCATTCAGATCAAATATTTCGCTTGCACAACCGCAGGAGTTTATAAGTTAGATTACAGGTCTTATGTTGAACCGTATCAAGATTGCATCATAGATCTTTCTGAAAATATAGAGTTACATGATGAACGCCTCCTAAAGTTTTTCAGGTGGTTTTGGTTACTGCTTCTAGCACGCACTGCATGAACTTTCCAAGTTACTTTCAAATCAGTTTATATACATAGGACATTAACAGTTGTTCAGCTCACTCATCACATATTGTAGATAGGATTATGAAGAGATGTTTTTCGGTCGGATCGTTTACAGCACACTACATAAAAACTGAGCTAATCAAGAGACTTAACTACAGCAGAAGTTATTGCTAGTTCTAAAAGTCTTTCAGAGATTGTCACTCAAGTGTAAATAGGTGATAAAATTAGGTCAGGTCACTACATTCTCCACATTGTCGGTAATTTTGATGACGCCAACGGAAGTTAACTGCCGAATCTGACAGGTGCTGCGAATCATGAACCTGGCTTAAATAAACTTCGAAGCTTACGGGAAACAAACCCCTCTGTGTTGGGGACTAAGAAGGGGTGTCTAGACTATCACTCATTTTACTTTAGAGACAAGAACTCGAGGGTGAGCATCCTTGTGGACACAAATGCGAAGCTTAGTATTATTCGCAGGAACAATATACAAGTAGTTATAAAAACACAGTTACTCTTCATGCTGCCAACAGAATGAACTAAGGATTTCAGCACTAAGTTCCGAGCTTACCAGACAGTTTCCCTGGATATTCACTCTTGCAGAATTGATTAGGCAATATTGGGAATGCACATCTTACAGGTATGAATTTACAATCGACATAAAAAGCCGCTTGGTACTTAGAGCGACTTAAAGTAACGAAATAGGGGGACTAGTTCCAGACATTTCTCTCACTTTGGTGCAGAATTCGTCGGTAGCAACGGTAATTTATGAGTAA